GTATACACATTCAGTAATATGCATACTCTTATATTGTACATATATTTATTCATATAATTCTCAGATTTAGCCATTCTTATATTTGCCTGTTCTTATGTTATTGTACTTTGCACACCTCTGTTGCTTGTGAAGCTCGCACACAAGAATTTCACTCGCATGTACCAGTGTACCTGCACATGTGACAATAAAAGTGATTTGATTTCATGTTCAAGGTTTTACACGCTCCCATCCAGTTTTCATCTTATATTCTCGCGTCATTGTTTTCATAGTTGGTTCATTCCCAGTTTAGGTTTCAGTTTAGTTTCACCTCACCTTGTTTTTCTGTTTTTTGTGTATCTCCGTACCAAAGGCTCGCTTTTTGTGTAAACCTCTGTTCATCTCTTGCGTGTCTGCATTTGGGTCCGCACCACAAACACACCTGCGGCTTAGCCGTGACAAATTTCAAACATTTGATAAGGTGTATATGCTCTTTTTGAATAAAATATGGATTTATGAGACTTGCAAATCATTACATTTTGCTTTGATTTACATTTCACACGCAGTGGGAAGGTTTGCCCATATTTTCCAGCTGAAGGAACAAGCTGCTGCTGCAGCTCAGTGCTGGTTCTGATAAAAAGGTGTCACAGGGTATCACAGTTTGTTTGTGGGGCTGCACAGCCAAAACCTGTCAGTGTGCCCATAATGACTGTGACAACAATGAGCATCAGAAGTGGACCATCAAGCAAAGGAGGAAGATGGCCTGTTCTGATGAATCATGTTTGCTTTTTTCACGTGGATGGCCGGGAGCTTGTGTCACGTGCTTAGGAAACACAGTCTGATGCTCTGGAAACCTCGGGTCCTGCCACCCATGTGGATATTACTGTAGGCGCCAGATATCTACTTTATATTTGGATTTACAATTAATTTCATGTTTGGTTTGTAATTCATAGATGCTTGTGAGTTACATAATTGATATTTTCAGGATTAATACATTTGAACATTTAGGTTATGTTTTCGTAAGGTAATGATACGGCCCTGTTTGTGATAAGAATCAAAAGAGGTGCCCATCACTTTAAGCATGTAAGTGCAATGGCAGCATGAAAACCTTTGTGGTTTGGGAAGAGGAGGAGCATGGCCGGAGAGGTTAGGAGTACACAGGTTGTTCTGGATAAATGTCTTGTTTTTTGGAACGTTTATGCTTATTTAAGAAGGAGTTTATTGTGAAGTCTTTAGTTAGTAATAAATAAAAAAATCTTCAAGTCACAATTCAACTGGAAACATTTCCTTTTAGAAACCAGGAACACCCGTCAGCCACAGACTCCCTTTTTGAACATTTCCCTACATGCACCACCTAAATGTTGCTGCAGACCATGTGCACCCTTTCATGGAAACGGTCTTTTTCCTTGGCTTCTTTCACAGTAGTATTATAATCATGCCTGATTGGTATGAGTTCAACCCCATTTGCCATAATGGTGAAAAAACAATAATTCACAGGGAACGTGTTGATCTGCAGAGAAGGGCCGACCTAAGTGGAAATAAAGTTTATCATATACGAAAGAAGAAGAAACAGTGTCAATATTATCTGAATTTATTTGGTGCATTGTGAAAAGCTCGTGTACGGAACAGATGAAGCTACGTGTTATCTGGAACGTTCACCGGCACCAGTTTAGTCGCACGGCTGCCAAAAACGAGCCCATCGGTTCCCCAGGCTTGTGACAAAATCGTTGCTTGCATCTTTATCTTTTCTGCGCGTTCGCGCATTTCCTTGAGGCGTGCACAGGATGAAGTGCGCGCGCGCTTGGCACGGAGCCGCGCACTCCAGCCCATACCCGTAGTAAAGCAAAGCTCCAAACTAGACATGGCGGCGGATCCTCAGCCGGACTGGCTCTCCTGCCTTCCCTCTTCTTGGAGTTATGGGGTGACTCGGGATGGACGCATATTCTTCATTAAGTAAATATGACGCGGATACACGGATTTATGGATACCTACTGCTTTTTTCTCCGACGCATTCTTGTTTGGGTTTTTTTTTCGGGTTCTCTGTTCACCTCTCCCTCCCCCGTTTTCTTTCACCAACAGCGAAGAAGCAAAGAGTACAACCTGGTTGCATCCAGTTACAGGAGAAGCTGTCATCACGGGGCACAGAAAAACCCCAGGTAATACAGGATGTGTTTTTTCTACATTCCTGCGAAAATCCGTGCACGCACGCACGCACGCACGCATCGCCTAGAAAAGGTTATGTGCGCGTCACGGTGGGAAAAAAGGGGCGACAAGTTGCGGGGAGAGCGTGAAAGACGACGGGGGTAGATTTCTTCTCTGCAGCAAAGCAACAGTCGCCCCTCTCCGCTGTCGGACCGTTGCGCACGGCGTCCCCCCGCCATCCCCACCCCACTTACTCCACCTGGACACTTTGCGACACACTTTTTAAAAGTTATGTCACGTAGGCTTTTGCCGATTTCCAAGCGGATTCCCTGCAGTGACATTTGATACATACCCCGCTTTGCTGCAGAAACCCAGTATTTCCAGTCACCACGGCTGATTATAGAACAATGCGCTGCGGCTTGTGCGTCAGCTCAGAGACGATATTGCCCCCAAATTTGCACATCTGCCGTGGGGAGGTTTTTATTGGGTGCATGCACATCAATGGTGTATTCCACCAGCGTGATACTGAGCAGGCAGACGCACACAAAATGATAAATTCTGCAGGAGGGAGGGGGCGGGATTGATTAAAAAGGGCGCAATCCAAACGAGATATTATGCTAGAAAAAGTGTGTTGCTGTTTGATTCGCTGTCTCTGTCACCGTTCCTTATGTTCCTGCTGTCTTGTGTTGTTTTTCTTTCCCTCCCTCACAGATTTACCAACAGGATGGGAGGAAGGATATACATTTGAGGGAGCTCGCTGCTTCATCAAGTGAGTTGGAATGTGTGGCATGGAAAAAACATAGATAGGAAGACACTGATGGATGCAGAGAGGGATGGAGACGGGTTGGGTGGCTTGTCTTGGGCAGTGGGGTGCTGCTTTGTGTGCTTGGTAAGCTCTGAGATTCCCTCCCCTCTTCCCACCTCTTGGCCTGTCTGCTCCTTTGGAGGAATTCCCAAATCCTTCTGTTTAGCGGCCCTGTAATGTGCACACACATCCTTACCCACACATGTAGAAAACTGATGTGACTGAACAGCTCTTCGCCTCTGTCTCATAAACACACTCTCTCCAGTGAAGGGATTTACCCAAGAACAAGTCTGTACTGTTAGTGAGGCACAAGTTTGACAAGCAAGGGTGACTCAGATGCTGCTCCACTGCTTAACAGGCTCTACTTGTTGGTGTGCTGTGTGTCTGTTGTGTATGTGTGCACCCACTCCAGGTTTATAACCAACTTCAGCAACCTGTGAGCTTTTTGCACACACATGTTAGTTTTTTGGTGTGACTGTCTGGCAGCTCTCTGATCACCACAGATACACTTTGATTTTCTTCCACCTATTTTCACACTGACTTTTACTGGAGCTGCTGGTGCAGCTTTACTGGAGCTGCTGGTGCTATCTGTGGATATTTTGAAAGCAGCAGCTGACACATGCAGTGAGCTAATATAGCCATTCTATAAATAGACCAAACCTGGTGCTCATTTGTATGTATACATGCATGCAGAGTGTACCCAAACACATCTTCAGTGTATTAATGCATGCACATGGACATGTAAACCTGCAAGCACAGTTGCATGTGTTAAGCATTACATGCTTGCACAGTTGGATAACTGCAAATGCAGCCAGAGCATTTTAAAGAGGTTGGTATTAGATCAGGACACATTCAGAGGCAGTACAGAGAGACATGAGTGTGTGATGGTGCTTGAGTTGTTTTTCACATGATAGGAAAGAAAAGAACTCGTGCATATATTCTGGCTTTCGTTGTTTCTTGGGGAGGGCACACGTCTCTAATGTTTTCTGATTACTTACTGACGTTTCGTTTGCTTTTCAAGCTGGTTTTTGATACATGCAGCCAAAAGTGTTTATCTAAAACATGGCTCGCTGTGACGAGTGCTACTGATCATTGTAATGGAATCACTACATTGGTACCATCATACTCTAAGTATTATCTTTTGTTTGAATTAGCTCCTGTTGTGTCGTTCACCAGTTGGACCATCTGCAAAATAGTGAAACAATCTAAAGAGTCAAAAAGATGGTAAATGGACTTGTTCTTCTCTACTCTACCTGAGCACTCAACACACTTTATACAACTGGCCTCATTCACCACCTAATCATACAAGCACTTTGTTCTATGCTTTTTCTGCTGACGTGCTTTCACACACACACTCCAGTGGATGTACCGGAGAGCAACTTGGAGTTAATATCTTACCCATTTGGCATGCAGACTGGAGCAGCCAGAGATCAACAGACACTAACTCAGGACAGTGGGACACAGACTCCGATATCTTCAGCTACCTTTCTCATATTTGGCACACAACAAGAAGCAGTCCATGTGGGGAGCATTTTTCACAGCCTATAAATGCCGTGGCCCACCTGGCTAAAGTTGACCACAGCTGGAGCATTTTTTCCCTCAGTTCCATTTTATTTATACAGCACCAAATGACAAGTCGCCTCAAGGTACTTTGCTTTGCAAGGTAGACCCTACAATAATACATACAGGTCCATTGAATAACTTAACCTAATTGTAAACTATAAACAAGTTTAAAAAAAGATTAAAGAATGAAGCAAATGGTGTAACTTACTATTGTTTTACCTGTTTGGCTGAGATCTGTCCAATTATGTATACTAATTAAGGACTGCCCCAGCTTAGCTTAGGTCACGCTATGCTTTATTTAAACAAACACTGAACATTTAGTTACCAGGACAATGCAGCAAATTGTGTGTACCGATATAGCCGTACTGAGCAGGTGACAGGAGGAGGCAAAGTGGTCAAAGTTGGTCATCTCTGGAGACTGAATGATGCCAGTTCAAATGTGAAGTAAGGTATTGGCAAATTGTAAGTAGCCCGTCTAGCTGGTGGGTGCTCTGATAACTCAACAGTGTGATTTATTTTTTTGTTTGTTTTGTTAGAGGACAAAATAAGTAGTGATTACAGGTGGAAAAGCTCATTTGGATATTAGGCCATAAAAAGCAACTTCTGTGCTGTCCTCGAAGTGGCGTGCTCGGCTGAAGGCGAACATTCATGCTGCCACATTCACAGGCTTGAATACAATGAGAAGCATTTGACACAGAGCAGTCACACTAAAGGACACTGCATCATCACCACTTCTTGAAACCCCCCCACATTCCTCTCAAATTCCTCTTCGGTCATTTTTCTATTAGTCCATTATTGGGAGTGTTTTCTCGCAGCTCACGCCTCATCAGTGGCGTTGAAGGGCATTTCTGCTCCCTGAGTTTGTGATGGTAGGTTATTTGTCCTCAGGCTGAGCTTTTCAGGGTCAGAAACCTCCTGCTTGGGTTAATCTCCAAGTTTCCATTTTGAATGTGTTTATGTCCTCATATTTATAATTTAACTCAGTTAGGAATTCTTTAAGCCTGAGGTAGAGACATGTTGGATTGCCTGGAAACAAAGTCCCTCCCGTATAAATAACCCTAAATACTTTTATTTGCTTACTTGCATCTTATTTTGGCAGTACTATCAGCTGGGATTAACTTCCGGTTGGAGTTGTGATGCTATTATTTTGAAGAAATGACTTCCTGTATAACTGTTGTCGGTGCAGTTTGGCAACAGTCGGGGAGGTTGGAGGGAGTGTTGTAACGGAGCTTGTGGAAGTTTATCTTGTCATTAGCAGCCCCGTTGATGAGGCACAAATTTGTGGTTATAAGTAAATAAGTACATGTTTAAATATTGTGCATGACAGAAACTGTACATTTGTTATGTAGAAGGTTAAGTTATTTTATGTTGTAAAGGTTTAAAGTTGTAAGAGTATAGATTTTAACTTTATTTTCTATTTTAGGCTTTTTCACCTTCATTGTGGGGAGTTTTCTACAAACAGTTTGGAACCACAATGACTGAAAGTCTGCAAACCTCGAGCAGAATATGAGGCAAGCCTCTGGCTTTACTCTCTGCTCAGACTCAGTCAAATGCTACAAAACTAAATGGACAGTACTACACTGTAAATATCTTTATTAATCAGCTATGTACCACAGGCCTTCAAGCTGGCTGTAGTTACACCTTTACTCAAAAAGCATCTCTAGACCCAGCAGTCTTAGCTAATTATAGGCCAATCTCCAACCTTCCTTTATATCAAACATCCTTGAAAGAAGACAAGCAAAAAACAGAACAGAGCATCTGCAGAGGCTTATTTGAAGAGTTTCAGTCAGGTTTCAGAGCTCATCACAGCACAGAAACAGCTTTAGTGAAGGTTACAAATGATCTTCTTATGGCCTCTGACAGTGGACTCATCTCTGTGCTTCTCCTGCTAGACCTCAGTGCAGCGTTCGATACTGTCGACCATAATATCCTATCCGGTCTTTAAATCTGATGTGAGTACTTGTCTGGGCCCAAACTCCGCTTCAGGTCCCAAAGTCAAACGAACACTGCGACATCAATGAGAGTTAAAAACTGTCTAAATTCTTTCATCTGTAATAAAATGTTCAGCGTTGCTGCTTTACCAGGTGTAACAATTAAGCTTAACATCCAGGCATCCATGAAAACAGGATTTATTAAATTTAACAGAGTTAGAAGTTAGCAGGAAGTTAGCTCGCTAGCTTCCACCTAAACATGATATAGCATGTTCTGACTGAGAGATTAATGAAAAATTCAAACGTACAGCTCTGCTATCACTTCCAATATAAATGAAGACAGAAAACTAAACAGCAGTGACGTTTGTAGGGTTACTGAAGTTGGGCTAGCTGGTATATAAAGGTGCTACGTGATCGCTAGCGAGGCAGCTATGTTAGCATAGCATAAACAGTGAAGCTGGAGGATGAACGTGTCCCAGTTAGGTAGGTACTAAACAGTACCTGGTACTATCGCCTAATTGAAAACTGTCATGCTGGTACTAATGGAAAAGGGCTAAGTTTTCTATGTGAGTGCTTTCTGTCTAACACACTCGTACTCCAGTGGATGCGTCGGAGAGCAATTTGCTCAAGGATATTTGGCTTGTAGACTGGAGCAGCCGGGCATCAAACCACCAACCTTTCAGTCAGCAGATGACCTACTCGACCTCCTGGGCTACAGCAACCCTCCCTACTGGGTGCTGCACTGAGGTCTTTCAGGAAAAATACAGCAACATAGTGGAGTTTGTGCTTAAATCCTTGTTTGTTCCTGCGTGGAAAGTCCACACAAGTCCAGATTTCCGAGGACGGGAGGACACAGCTTGCGGCCTCGGGGGCCTGTCACCTCGGGGGCCCGTCACCTTGGGGGCCCGCCACCTCTGGGGCCCGTCACCTCGGGGGCCCGTCACCTTCAGCTGAATTCTATGATACTTCTAAAGTATAATTTCACCAAATTATACCGTTCAGTCGTAATGAATAACCTGGACACTCATGTCACCATTAGGTTTTTGCAGTGCAAGTTTAATTCACAGTATTTTAGTGCATCTGCAGCAATCATGGTAACCATGGACACTGTGTGGATGCATCGATGTAGGTCAGACTCTGTGAAGTACCCCTCATGTCTCTTTGAAAGTAAAAAGAGGTCATTCATCATCTTGTGGAACTAGTTTTACAGCATGATCTTACTGGAAAATTGCAAAATAAATGGAAACCTGTTGAGGATGGTGTGCGCTCACAGTCAGCTATCCTGTGTGTGGTGAGTTCGTTCATCCCCTTCTCCTGTTTGTCTCCCACTTTGCTACTGCAATCTTAGAGAGATTTTTGCACTTCTATAAATTGTGAAATGTGGTTGTAATTATGCATAGCATGTGTGAGTGCAAGCACGTCTTTTTTTTAAAGATTGTTTTTCTGTCTAATCTTTACTCTCAAACCCTT